GATAATTTCGCTGAAAAGCAACCCATTCTTTCCCTAGCTATCAAGAGAGTCTGCATTGGCTAGCCGAGAGTAAGCTCATAGCATTTACACTTACCTGCTGTTTTCAGCTGCCTGCAATCATAAAGCCTTTGGCTTTCCAAAAGACATTTTACAAGCTGTTTTGGGATCCAGTTTTGGCTGAAGAGCTGGGGCAAAATGTGCCTCTTAGTTAGATCTTTACGGTGATTAAAAAGTCACTCTGCATTCCCAGGACAAAAATATTGCCCTGTGGAGGCTTTTCACAGCTGGTGCAGCCAACTGCAAAACAAATACTGTTGGAAAGCAAGGTGTTTTTTTTAGCCCCGGTGTGCTCCCTAGCATCACCGCTTAATTTTATATATTTTTACGGCCAGAGAGCCCGCTTTCCAAAGGAAGCTTTCACCATTTTCTTTTTTTTAGAGGCGTGCAATACTACCCTGTTTCCCTGACAATAAGACCTCCCTGGATAATAAGCCCAATTGGGCTTTTGAGCGCATGTGCTCAAATAAGCCCTAACCTGAAAATAAGCCCTCCCCGAAAATATTGTAACACAGCAGCAGCCATGAGTTCACCTCGCTCGCCACCTCCTGTGCCTCAAAAATAATAAGAGCTCCCCAAAAATAAGGCCAAGCACTTATTTTGAGGGTCAAAAGAAAATAAGACCCTGTCTTATTTTTGGGGAAACAGGTGGGTTTATAGAGCCACTTGTAATCATGATGACTTTAGAAGCCTTTGCTTTGCAACACAGATAGTCCTCAATTTACAACAGTTCATTTAGTGACTCTCTTTGTTTTTGAGAAACGTGTACCACATTATTTGGCTCAGGATATTTTTTCATCCCTGGCATCTCTATTTGTAAATAACTTAAGGAGTTCAAGGGGCTGATTAAAAGTATAGAGACCTGTACTTTAATTTTTTATTTTGTAAAAAGAGTCCTTTCTCATCATGGGCCAATTCATTTGAGACAGATTTAACACACCCTTGTTGCAACTTTCACGATTTTATTGGCACTTTGGATGCTTTGTTTTATAAGCCACCTTTGCCTAACTCACTGGGTTGAAGGCAATCACGTACGCAAAAATAATTTAAGAATAATGATGGTGGATGTATGGACAGCTCCGAAGTAACGGCACAGAAAAACCTTGATGTAAGCTAAGAGATGCCACAAGAGGTCACTCTGCACTAAGGAAAAGGGAATTGAAAAGAAAACTGAGCTATTGGAGCTAATAAAAGCCATTCTTCTCCCTGACATGTTTAACGTTTTTCTATCTTGAACGGCTCGGGTTTCAAAATGCTGCAAGAAACATATTGAGGGCTTCAGACAATGCCCCAGATAATGCTCCTCTGCTGCAATAGAATCCCTTATGCCGCCAGACTTAAATTTTGGGCTTAGACAACTTCGAACTATGCCGCCTTCGGTCTGACCTGAGCGTAGTACATAAAATTATCCGCTACAATGTCCTACCTGTCAATGACTACTTCAGCTTCAACTGCAACAAAATAGATAGAAACTCAAGGTAAACCGCTCCAAACTCGATTGCAGAAAATACGACTTCAGCAACAGAGTGGTCAATGCCTGGAATGCTCTACCTGACTCTGTGGTTTCCTCCCCAAACCTTTAAACTTAATTGTCGACCTCACCCCATTCCTAAGAGGTCTATAAGGGGCGTGCATAAGCAACCCAGGGTGTCTACCGTCCCTGTCCTAATCTTCCTTTTTATTCGTATCCACTTCATGTATTCAAACTCATGTTTATGCTTGTATATGTTATCTAATACATGCTTGACGAAATAAATAAAATAAAAATAAAATAAAATAAGGCCCCAGATGTAAGAGTGTCCAGGTTTATGAACTGCAGTGTTGCCGATCCATTGGCTCCAGTCGTCTAGGATGTGCTACTGGCATGGCATGGTTTATGTCGTCTAGCTAAGGTTTCACAGCACGGATGAGAAGCGACGACAGCTCTTCTGTGCCTCCTAATGGGAAATCCAGCTGCCCATTTCCAGCTGTTCAGGGTTTTTCTCTCCCCCCTCCTATTCCGTTGGTTTAAAGCCAGGCTGCCAACGCTGCTTTTCCCCCCACTGGGGATTCAAGCATTTACTGGTCTACCAGGAGCAGATCCGAACAGCTGATACCTTGATAACAAGGCCAGAAGGTAACTCAAGCGATTCTGTGCAATTCCCTTCCCAATTCTGCACTCATTTCTCCACGAAGATATGACTCCCTTTGAGCCAGAGGCTGTCAAAATGACACCGTTGAGTATTTAGAGGCTTTCGGGTTTTTCTTTTGGGTTAACCGCTCTCCATCCCACTTGACCTCAGGGATGAGCTCAACAGAGGAATCACATCAAAGGGAAGTTGACCACATTGAGCAATGACCATCTTCACTTTTGAGAAAATAGTAAGAATAGTAAGGGATAGGGTTTGTTTTCGGAGAAGATTTGGAGTGTTGGCATTCTTGTGACAGATGCCTTGGGCCTCTTAAAACCCACCTCCATCCGAATGCAGGGACAAACGTTTGGTCCCGTTTCGCCTGAGAAGGTTTGGGGGAACCACATCAGAGGTGGTATTCAGCAGGTTCTGACCAGTTCTGGAGAACTGGTAGTGGAAATTTTGAATAGTTCGGAGAACCAGTAAATACCACCTCTGATTGGCGCTGCCCCCATCTATTCTCTGCCTCCCGAGTCCCAGCTGATCAGGAGGGAATGGAGATTTTGCAGTATCCTTCCCCTGGAGTAGGGTGGGAATGGAGATTTTACAGTATCCTTCCCCTAGAGTGGGGAGGGAATGGGGATTTTATAATATCCTTCCCCTGGAGTGGGGAGGGAATGGGGATTTTACAGTAACCTTCCCCTGGAGTAGGGTGGGGATGGAGATTTTGCAGTATCCTTTCCCTGGAGTGGGGAGGGAATGGCGATTTTATAGTATCTTTCCCTTGGAGTAGGGAGGGAATAGAGATTTTATAGTATCCTTCCCTTGGAGTGGGGAGGGAGTGGAGATTTTATAGTATTCTTCCCCTGGAGTACGGTGGGAATGGAGATTTTGCAGTATCCTTCCCCTGGAGTGGAGAGGGAATGGAGATTTTACAGTAACCTTCCCCTGTCATGCCCACCAAGCCATGCCATATCCACCACTGAACATTTTGGGGTTAACATGGACCTTTTGTATGGTCCATGTTAACCCCTTGAGCATCTTGACAATGAGAGAGAACCAACTAATAGCGGCAGCAGGTTAGAATCTTGTTGGAAAATAGCAATAGCCCTTAGACTTATATACCATTTCACAGTGTTTTACGGCCCTCTGTAAGCAGTTTACAGAGCCAGCATATGGCTCCCAACAATTTAAGAAGGAAGAAAGTTATTGCTGCAACCATGGATTGGAACAGCACAATGTAACATCAAAAGAAAAATAATAGCGAGGACAAGAAATGCAGCTGCATGACAGCAGGTGTGACATTCAAAGAAATTAAATGAGACTAAAACCAGTGCTATAATTTAGAGCATAAAGAGGTTTTTTTTTAGTTTAAAAGAGAGCATAGCAAAATAACAAACTGCCTGCTAACATAGGTAGTACTTGCTTAATAACTAATTTGCATTCCAATTACAACTGACTCCCTCTAATATATTAGCAATAGCACTTAGATTTATATATCGCTTCATCCAGCCCTCTCTAAGCAATTTTCAGAGTCAATTGCCCTCAACCGTCTGGGTCTTCATTTTATCAACACCAGAAAGATGGAAGCCTGAGTCAACCTTGAGCCTAGTGAGAATTGAACTGCAGGCCGTTGGCAGTCAGCAGAAGTAGCCTGCAGTACTGCATTCTAACCACTGCGCCACCATGGTTCTTGTCCACTGACTCAGGAAAGGATCAAGACAAGTGATTAAGAGACAGAAAACATCCTAGGATTCAAGGGATGTTTTCTCAGGATGACACACAAAATGAATAGCCATGCAATTTATCAAAAAATACATATCACTACAACCACTGCAGAACCACCAACATGAGATATGAAAACAAGAATACTGCTATACATCTAAAACATCTCAGAAACAAGATTATTACAACCACACTTCATCCCTGTAACACACAAACTGACTAAAGTATTCCAAAACATGTTGAGTAAATCACAAGACCCAATAGCCCAAAAATCAGGAAGCGGTATGTAAGTCTAAGTGCTATTGCTACTAATAGAGATTAAATGATGGAAGGGTCTGAAGTTGTAGGAACTTTAGGAGAAAGTGACCATGTCAAGGGTCTTGTGCTTGGGCAAGAGATTGGACTAAAAATTCTCCAAGATCCCTTCCAACTCTGTTATTCAGACAAAACGTCCATCAACAGACACATAGAGATAAACAACATTTACACATTATACAAAAGAGACAAGTAAAAAGCTAAGAAGGAAACAACAAAACAAAAACACCTACTTGCCAGAACCCAACACTCACATAAACAGGAATTAACCCAGGATTAACACCAGACAAAAATCAAGCAGTAAACAATACCCTAATCAAGGAACTACCAAAGAGAAAGACTAACACTGAGAAGACAAGCTATTGTGAATAAAAAGACAGCAAATCTCATTCTCATTAGTACTGATGATGTTACCTAGTTGGGTAATGAAATGTTTGCAAGCAAGCAACCAAGATAGATAGATATGTCTATGTCTATGTGTCTGTCCGTCCGTCCGTCCGTCCGTCCGTCCATCCATCCATCCATCCATCCATCCATCCATCCACCTACCTACCTACCTACCTACCTATCTATCCAAACAGATAGAGAGATATGTCTATGTCGATGTCTATGTTTATCTGTCCGTCCGTCCGTCCGTCCGTCTGCCCATCCATCCATCCATCCATCCATCCATCCATCCATCCATCCACCCATCTGGACAGATAGATAGATAGATAGATAGATAGATAGATAGATAGATAGATAGATA